GGGGGTTGGGTCAAACAAAGTGGACAGCTGGAAGGCAGAGTGTCAGGGCAAGGGTGGGAGGAGCAGCCCCTGCAGTGGGCCTCACCGCAGCTGCTCCCGAGCCTGCGTCACTACCAAGTCCCAGGCATGATTGATCTTCTTGTGCAGCTGGTCGTAGTGGTCCTGTGGAGTGATGAGGTTCCACTGGGTAACCCTTTCTGAGCTATGGGGCACTCCACTGGGCAATATGAGAGCATTCTGGATTGCCTGGAGGGCTTTGAGCCCTAGGAAGGGCTCATAGTCCCAATTTCCCTCCTAAAGTGGACCCAGTTTTGCAAACTTAAGTCCAAGGGGCCTCAAATAGAGTTGTGGGCGCCACTGATTGAATTCTGCCTAGGGAGAGGCTCACTTTCTCATGGTCGACCAGAGCTCCCTGCTTTCTGATGTTCTTCTTAGTCAAGTAGATGGCTGGATGGAAGAAAGGGTCAGGCTATAAGGAGTCCAATAACATCCCAGAGCCACCATGGAATGCCCTGGAAGCCATTCCTCACTCACCATAGTCCAGCTCAGCTGCTGGCCACAGAGTGCTGGTCCAGAAATAGGGTGTCTAGTGTGGACAGGGGCAAGAGTAACCAGGACTTCTGAGGTTGAGCCACCTGGTGTCACCCCCACATCATAGTCGCTGAGAAGTAGACAGGGTTGGGGTGTCTGAGGTTCTTTCTGCCCACCCACAGTTTGCAGGGCCAGCTGACCACCAGCCAGTCTCTCCACAGTTATAGAGCTGAGTTCTACCCTCTTGGGAGGGTAAGGTACTCCCTGATTCTGATGATGTAAACCCCTACTCTAGATGGAGAACCCGGGGGAAGCACTGAGGGGTTTCCTAGTCTGTCTGTGCTTTGCAGTGCAGTACAGGTCACCTGGCATTCCTGCCCACATTTCATTTCTTCAGAGGTGGGGACTAGAGCCAGTAGAACCCTCCCCAGATATTGCTCATCATTGAAGAAGCTACTGTGGCCCAGACAACCTGGAGTTACCTCCTTTTAGAATCCAAGCCTTTCCTAAGGCACCCAGAGGTCCAGAGTAAGGTCACCATGCCCAGCTCCAATCCTTGCCAACCCCACCCTCATAAGGGTCTCCTCTTGTGAGTTCCCACCTTGCTTGGGCCAAGTCTGACCTGAAATCTGTAGGGGGTCTCATCAGGTCGCAGGAGGAGGCAGCGGGGATCCCGCAGTGGGTATATGTAGCCATGCCGCACCAGGAGGGTGCCCAGGTGTAGGGCCTCTGGTACACAGAGAATGTCACTGAAGGACAGGGGTATGCTGGGACCAGTGTCCCCACCCCAGCACATGTGGCTAAGCCGTAACACCTGTAAGCCCCCTAAGTCCTAGTCTATTGGGGACTCTCACCTTCCTCAGTGATAGTATACTTCTGCATCAGCCACTCCACGATGTCATTACCTACACAAAACACAGTGAGGTAGCAGAGGCCAGGCAGGGCTGGCCCCTGGTGTCCCCAGGATCTCCGAGCCTCACCGGTCACCACGTGTGGGATGACGGTGATGAGCAGACGCTGCGTCCCCATCTTCACGCCTTGGTCGGGGTCCTGCATGCTCACGATCACGCGCTCCATCTGGTAGAGGGACAGTGAAGAACTACCCAGGCCGCCTCCACCCCCAGAGCCCGACTCTCTGGAACGAACAGGGATGGCCGGGATCAGCGTGCTTGGAGAGAGGATTAAAGCGCTCTAATGGTGGGATTTCAGCTGCGACAGGCTGTGCGGGTAGGGGAGGGGCCGGCAGAGTCTGGGGCGAACGCCTGCCCTAAGGTCTCGCCCCCTACCCAAAGCGCAGCTATTTTAGCGCCGTGTCCCAACTCATGAAAACCCCCCTCAACTGTTTTCCACGCCTCTCCCAAGGAAGGAAAATATGGGGGGGCAGAGGGACCCCCCAAACCTACGTCAGAGCGCACCTGGCACCCACCTTGCTCAGACATGGCATTTGCGCGCGGGGGCGCACGCCTTGGGCCGTGGAGCTGGCGGCCATGGTGTCGGGGCGCGGCCGGGTGGGATCTGGCTGGTCCACAGGTCCCCGGCCCACCCGCGCTCGCCCCCTGCCGGTGCGCCCGCTGCGTGGCCTCCGAGCTCTCGGCTTCGTGCCAGAAGGGGCCCGAGACAGGACCTGTGGCTCGACAGCCTACAGGGATGTGGAGGCTAAAAAGAGGAGCCAAGGAGGGGTGGGGCGGGCGGCTCAAGGAGAAGGAGGTTGGTTGATAGAAGGAGAGAACCTGAGGTGGGGTGGGGCCCAGGGGTTGAGGGCTCCGAGGACAGGGTGTGCAAGGAGGACTGAGTGGGGACAGTGAGCAGAATGAGGCGCAGTGGTTTAAGGGCTGGTCACTCCATCACTCCTCCCTACATGACGTGTGACCCATCAAAATGGGGCGGAGGCTGGGGTCAGGGTGACGGGTGTGGCTGTCCCAGGGAGAGTGACTCGCGCGCGCCACCAGGTGGGGACTGCCCCATGGTGCTGGGTGTGGTACCTGCGCTGCGCTGTTGGGATGTGTGAAGACTGGCCGGCACTGGGGCCGACTGTGTCATTCGCGGAGTGTTGTGTGTGACTGATGACAACTGCCTTAATTATGGTGTCTGTGCCTGCACTGGCCCGCCATCTTCTTTCTGGCCAGGGGTCCCTAAGGGTCCTCAGAGGCTGAGGTGCCTGCGGATTCATTTCCCCGCTGAAGGCGCTGGGTTGGGTTGGGGGGTGGACGGGTAGAGACTCTGCCCGCCCACTCTCCCCCATACTGTTGGGAGAAGGGCTTTATTGGGGAAGGGGTTATCTTAAAGCCCACCTCAGGCTGAGTAGCAACCTCTGACTCCACCTTTCGCAATGCTAAGGCATCCCTCCCAGACTCCTCAAGCTGGGCAGGAACCTCAGGCTTCAGTGTGCAGGCAACAGCAGCTTATTTCTGCTTCGTTGGAGATCTGCTTGCCCCTCCCCCAGGGTTCAGGGGTGCTGGGGCAGCTGGAGGGGACAGGCAGAGGAAGATTGGCCAGGAGTGTCCAGATGTTGAAGGCTGAGTCCATTTCCAGTGCTGACAAGGCCATATGTAGGAGGGGCTGCAGTAAGGCCGGTGGGGGGCTGGGGAGGCAGTCTCCATTGAAAATCCTCACCCTTTCATGGATGGAGTTGAGCCACCCAAAATCCTGGCCTCCTCCAGCCTAGGGACAGCAGATCCTCCACAACCGATCCAGGACAGGGCTGCAGAGCTAGGGCAGTGTGCCTGGGAGAGATTCAATTGGCAGGACTCAGAGGGGCCTGTTGCCCCCTGAACCCATTTGGTCCTGGTGTGATCAACTACCATTTGTTTCAGAGATGGAAGAGAATGAACAGGAAACTCAGGCCAGCTACCCAGCCCTGCTCTCCACCCCCACTCCACGTTGATCCTGCTGTCCCTGGCTTGAGGCCCCTGATCCCAGGCCTCAGTGTAAGTGTTAAGATGAAAAGCTCCTCACTGCTTCCCTCCCAGCACCCCCTCCGTCCCTGGGGGACCTGGTTCAATGTCCTTTTCTCTACAGTGAAGTTCAAACAAGAATGGGTGGTCTTTGGAACCCATGATATCCGACAGAGATGATCCATCTGTAGTCACCCATGGTCACAGACACAGAGGGAGTTCAAGCATCTGGTGTGTCCACCAATGCCGCCCACGGTTTGAGTACCATCTCAGTCACAGTGCGACCATATGGCACTGTCTCTGTGCCAGTGGCCCTGACCTTCTAGGATGTGAGGCCCAGAAGGAGGTTCCAGCGGGCAGGGCCCCAGGTGTGGCCTACAAATAATGAGAACCTGGGGACAGGGGGGAGACAGCACACCTGCTCCACTCAGAGCGCCTAGCCACACGTGCCCCTCCCAGAGGGCTTCCCCTGAGGCCCCCCAGTACGTTGGGGGGTGGGGCGGCCCTGACAGCCAGAACCGACAGAGTGCAGGGTTGTGGACAGCTAGAACTGTCACCGCGACCGTGACCGCGTGCGTTCGTGCCCGGGGTGGGACCGTGCGTGGTTGGTTGCTTCGTGCGCCCGCGGCGGCGA